CCCCGACCCACACGGAAGATTTCTTCTGTACTTCTTCCTGTTCGTGTGACTCGCAACGCCTTTGAGGACTTCTGATACCACCCGCGGGAACGTTTTCAGTGTGCGCTCGTGAAACAGGACTCTCCGTCCTGTGGTCGAGGGCCGAGCTGAGGAGGGCGCAGCAGAGGAAGCGAAGAAGTGATATTTTAGTGGCATTTTAAAACACGTTTCGCGTGGACATAAAGTGTATGATGAATGTGTGCCGTGGGGGCACCGGGATTCCGCGCCGAAGGGGAGGTGCCACCCTGTGCGTAGGGCCTGCTCCGGCATACACCACCGGGACAGGTGTCTCGCGCCTTTCGGGAGCGGTGTAGTCCCTGTTATACACATGGTAGTACACTCACAGCCCCCCCCCCCGGTCCCCGGGCCGAGGCTGAGGATGTGAGTGCGAGTCTGCAGCGTGTTTGACAAATTAGGGGTGCGGCTGATGGATCGATTGCTGTTCTGGCCCAGATGTCGTCGGGAGGGGCGCGGCGCCACCCGGGGGGAGGAAGAGTATGGGAAGCGGCAGGAGGCCGTCGATGCCAAAGTGGACCGGGAATGAATTTGTTTGACATATTTTCGCCGTGCAAGTAAAACTAAAAATACCTCCGTCGTCCACCGCAGCGTTCCGCTATATGAGTCAGGGAAGGCGCCACGCCACGCCACGCCACGCCACACCGCACCGCGCCACGACACCACGCTACTCCCGGCCACCTCATCGTCATAATTTTAATGTGACGCTAGTACCCATCCTGTCGCCAACCACTGCTCCGGTTATTAATGGCCAAGATGTATTGTCATTCTACCGCGATTATACGCCCGTAGTCATTGCATTAGTTTTCTTACCCTCTTTCGAAACTGTCCGTTTTTTGTTTTATTTTAAGAATATTGAAGGAGGACATCTCACCCGAGGCAAAGAGCCCATCAATTTGGGTTGAAGGCTAAACTCATGGGACGTGGAACGATTTTTCTTAAACGTGCCGGGTGGCGGCCGGGCCGGTGTTGAGGCAGCAGGTCCCACCACCCGGGACGAGAGGGGCCCAGAATGTTAGCCTTGGCAGCGTTTTCCGGCCACCCCCTGATAAAAATTAACATGTGATAATTTTATTTTTACGAGGTATCTGTCCTAAGTTTTATTACCGTGCTGCTCCGCTGGGAATTTGCGGAATTTTGTCGAGAGGGGAGAAGGGTCTGCCGACACTAGACGACTCCTCCCACACTAAGAGGGCGGGCGGTTTTTATACACTCTTGCGACTTTGGCTCAATACCGCCGGTTGTCTTCTTCAACTTCAACTTCAACAAGGGTTATTACGACTGCTTGTTGCCTGGTGTGGGGAAAATGTCTCAGTAGAGCAATAGGGGGCATTGTGCAGCTTGGGGAAACTCTGCAATGCTTACGTATACACTGTGTGCGGCGATTTGTCACTGTCACTGTGATTGCTTGACACGCTCGGTCCAATAGTCAGTCACCTGTTGCCCCTGGATCTGATAAGTGGCACTTTGATCCGACCCCGGCCCGGCCTGGTTCTAGTCCGAGTCGTCCTATAAAAAGAATGGTCATTTGGTGTGCGCCACGGGGCTGTCCCACGCCTGTCCCAGGGCTGTCCTATGCGTGTCCCAGGGATGTCCCAGGGATGTCCCAGGGATGTCCCAGGGATGTCCCAGGGATGTCCCAGGGATGTCCCAGGGATGTCCCAGGGATGTCCCAGGGCTGTCCCAGAGCTGCCCCGGAGCTGTCCCGGAGCTGTCCCGGAGCTGTCCCAGGGAGGGCTGTCCTCTGGCTGTCCTAGGACTTGCCCGCCCGGCCGGATGGGGACCAGGCGACTGCTAATGGGTCACGGAGCATTGCAGCGGGACGGGGCGGAAAGCTAAAGGTAAAGGCTGGGCATCGTTCGGAAAACAAGTCTCTCCCCAAAATACCTCACTCACCTCGCACTCCGCTGTCGGTGCAACAGTTCCGTGTAAAGTCGAGAGGGAAGACCGAACGACTCAGCGCAATGTTTGCAAACGGCCTTGATTTTCTTTTTGCCGTCTACTGTACTCCACACAAAATTGCTTCCAAATGTCGCCTTCTCTGGGCGGCATCTTCAGAGACTGAGAAAATACAATACAAATAATCAAATTTAAAGTTCAAAACACTATGTAGCAATTTCGTTTTCCACTTTCGCTTTAGTAAAGAAACTATTCGTTGATGAATGTTATGATCCGGAACCTAACCTCCTAACCTCACTTTGGTAATCAGTCAGAACATTCAACGTGAAACGATTTATGAATTAAGTTACATGTTACATATCCGTCACAGGAACGCGCGGTGGAAAACGTTTACAAAATAGGAAAGGAAAAGAAAAGAAATAGCAAATACGAACCTTCACTTCCACCTGCTGACCGGCTTCAGCACAATCTTCTCGTAAAATCTGTCCAGCGACTGAACCACAGGGCATTCCCTATCATAGCCTATAGCCTTCTAAAACGGTGCAAAACACCCCGCAAAGAAAGGCTGCCAACTTAACACTGTACTAGAGTAAAATGGTCACAGTTTGTGGGAATGGTGTGTAGTGTACGGGAAATGTGTTTTTTCCATTTTTTCCAACTTTTCCGAGGTGTTGGGAAAAAATCCGGAAAAAATCGGATTTTTTCCATTCTTTTCCGGAAAATTTTCCGGCCTTCAAATCCCTAACGACTCACGTCTCAGCGACCGACTATGACCATCATAGAGGAAAGGCCCGAGTCTCTAGTTGGTACGTGATTGGCTTGCGGTGATTTAGTTTGCTCTTTGAGATCGAAACGTCAAACACCTGCTTCCCCCCCCCTTCCCCCCCCCTCTTCTCCCGTGGGAGAAAGGAGGGGGGGGGCTCACTTTCACGGCTCGCTGTTATATTTTTGCGTGGCGTTGCGTGAGGCTAATTTGTGTCGGCGGGCTGCCGTGTCGCGGTCGGGGTGGGACGGGGACGCACACCCACAGCGGGGCGAGGAAAGTTGCAAAACGTTTCCTAGAGTTGGAAGCGAACACATAGAGTTGGAAGCGCACAATAAATTCTTTGGTCTCCGGAGCCGGAGGAGTGTGTCAGGTGGCTGATTGGACAGGGGGCGATAGTCTAGCCCGCCTGCACTCGTGCGTGCGGTACAGCGCGACTACAAAAGTTAGCGGGGTTAATCAGCCCCCACCTGGTGTGTCAGTTCGTCCCCTTGACTTGTGATTTGCGTTCAAGTGTGACGTTGCGATGGGCGTTGGAGATCACGAGGCTCGGGTGGCACTCGACCCCGATATGCGGCATATGTGCGGCGGCTTGTCGCAGCCAAAGCCCTCCCCGTCTAACGTACTGACCAGCGCATTGGAGTTGACGCCTGCCCTGCACCGAGGCCGGGCCAGACCTCCCCGTCGCGCACCTGCCGTGCCGACCGGGCGGCGCGGCCAAGAGAAGCGCGGTCGCGCTGCTGTAACAGCTGGC